TCAGCTCCTAAATACCCTAAAGGCACAATTTCCATTGCAAATTATATTTGAACTGAAAGGTGTAGGAAAAGGTCTAACTTGTGGTGCGTGCCAGAAGGCGGCACACTGAAAAGATTTGGCCCAACACAAAATAACAGGATTATAAAATAGGTGTATTTCATAATTCTTCCACACAGTGGCACTTAGATTCCATTTTTAGAAGTTAGATTGTGGAAATATAAAGCTAGGCCCGCCCAATTTGCTGAAACACAATGAACACTGCGAATAGGACATTCGTTACTCATGTCTTTAGCAAATTATAGGAAGTGCCTAGTTCTGAGGAAAGGTTACCAGATCCGAAACATTAACTTTGATTTTTCTTCACAGATGCTGCCAGACCTGCTGAGTTTTGTTTTTGTAGCAGCTTCTGCTTTTGTACCTTTTCTTTTGATCAGTCTACCTGTTGACATGGGTACATACAAACAGCTTTTCTAGAAGGCTTACATGGCTTCCATTCTCTGTACCTCCTGATATCATCTTCCTCAAAGCAGATGAAAAGGAGCGTTTCTGAAAGAAAATTCACAGGTTCCACGAAAAGGAATTATACTGGTGAAGATCTCAACAGGTTCAGTCAGTCTCTGTCTATTTCACATTTCTATAAGCATCTGCATGTTCAGCAGAGGCCTGCAAATTGTTCTCATGCTCTGGGACTCCCTCCTGTTCCTGACAACATGTCTTAAGGTGATGCTGTTTTAAGCAATCTGCACTTGGCAATGGAATTGCGCTGGGGTCAGGCTAGGCATGTGTATTCATTGTTGGGTTTAGTGCAGGAACATTCTGATGAGATATTTAGTGGCTGAGATTGTTTCAAAGAATTCCTCTCTGTCCTCTTTCTTTTTTTCCTCTGACACCTGAAGTCGATGATAGTCAGAGGAAATTCAACGTCAGTATCATTCCTTCATTCAGAGGGTGGCGAATCTTTGGAATTCTCTGCCACCACATGGCTGTGGACGTCAGTCACTGAGCATATTCAGGACTGAGATCGATCAACTTTTACAAACTGAAAACATCAAGAGACGAGATATTGGAGGAAAATAGCGTCTGTGTAGACAATCAACCATGATTCCATTGAATGTTGGAACACGTTTGAGGGACAGAATGGCCTCAACCTGCTCCTATTTCTTGTGTTCTTTCAAAAATAAGGTTTACTTTTATCAAAATCTGCAGCTCCAAATTTCCACAGAGCTTTTTTGCTTGACAACTCACCAGTTGGCTGGAGAGAGGCATCGAATTGAGGTTTGCTGACTTCATAGTTACATAGCAAATGGTTTCCTCAAAACAGCACTACATGTGCTGAGGCAGTGTCCAACAGAAGGGTATATTCAGGTCAGCATTAAGGAGGCTGTTCTCTCTTAAGGTAAAACTTATTCCAAACTGGTCAGTCCTTAAACTAAAATATTCAACATTGTACAGTAAATCCTCACAGAGTTGTAGCTACATTATTCAAAGTCATAGTTCAAAAGTGAAATGACTATAGTAAATCATATGTTCCCATTAAAATTAATGTAGTTGCTATATTCTGAAGGACCTTCCTCATTAAAAAAAGTCAGTTAAAACACTTTGTCTTCTTAAATTCCTATATTAATAAATAACTTCTAAGATATAAAACTTAAAAATATAAAAGAACCGCTGAGAACTAACTCTCTCTGCTTATGACTTGAATACTCTCTCTCCTGCTGACCAACTCTCCCTCCTGCCGACTTTCTTTCAGTTCCCACTTCCCTTGCTCAATTCTACCATTCGCCACTTCCTGTTGTAAACCTCTCACTCACTATTCCTCTCACACCATCACTCGCTTCCTCCCTCTCACTGCTTCCCTCATAAGTCCTCATGTGATCTCAAAATCCACAACCATTACCATCTTGCAACATGAGGATAGCAAATACGCGGGAACACCAACGACTGCAAGCTCCCCTCCAATCCACTCACCATCCTGATGTGGAAACATATTACCGTCCCTTCACTATCACTGAGTTGAAGATCCTGGAACTCTCTCCCTATCAGCATTGTTGGGTTATGTACACCACATGAATGAAGGCGGTTAAGGGCAACGAGGGAGGTGCAATAAATGCTGAGTCAGCCAGCAGTCCCCATATCCTGTGAATGAGTTAAAAGGAAATGCAAAGACAAAATACAGCAGATGTATGCAGGGACGCCACAAATAGGAAATAAGATAGTTTTATTTTACATCAGCTAATGCTGACATTTTGTGACAGAACTGCCCCACCCTGGGCTACCACAGCAGCAGACTAAGAGGCCATTGAAATGAGAAGTTCCATCGCCATGGAGAAAGCACAGTGTCCAAGGCCTCACCTGTAGCTCAAATGCTACTGCTGGAGGAGTTTCCCCTTGATCAGTGGGGCAATTAATGGACATGGGGAAAGAATAGGAAAGTGGATGTGAGGAATGTTGGATCAGCAATGATCCTATTGAATGGCGGTGCAGGCCTGAGGTTTGAGATGTAAAAATAGACTAGAAAGGCTGGGACTATTTTTTCGCTGGAGTGTGTGAGATTGAGGAGTGACCTTATTGTGGTTTATGAAATCATGATGGGCATGGATAAGGTGAATGATAAGGGTCTTCATCTTTGTCAAAACTAGGGGACATATTTTTAAGGTGAGAGGAGAAAGATTTTAAAAGGACATGAGGGGCAACGTTTTTACAGAGAGTGATTCATGTGTGGAATGAATTGCCAGAGAAAGCGGTGGATGCAGGTACAGTTACAATGTTTAAAAGACATTTTGATAAGTTCATGAATAAGAATGAAAAGCAGAAAGAACTGCGGATACTGTAAATCAGAATCAAAAACAGGAATTGCTGGAAAAGCTCAGCAGGTCTGTAGCATCTGTGGAGAGAAATTAGAGTTAACATTTTGTAATGAGTGACCCTTCCTCAGAACATGAATAGGAAAGGTTTGGAGGGTTATGGGCCAGGCACAGGAGGTGGGACTAATTTAGTTTGGGAACATGGTCAGCGTGAACTTGTTCAGACTGTAGCATCTGTATGACTGTATGACTCCATGACTGAATGGCCTACTCCTCTTCCTATTTCTTATAGTTTTGTTAAGGTACATCCAAACCACAGCGCTACAATCTTACCCAAGGGGGAAAAAAAATCCATCTCAGCCGGAAGGGGATTGAAACCCCTATTGTTAGTACCAATCTGATTGATATCACCCATCCTGTCAATGTGCCAACTGGCCCCTCAAGGAATCAGTGGTGCCCTGGCCCCAAACACTTTTACTTGCTTGTTGTGGCTTGCAGCAATGGTTACTGATGGTAGAAATTCCAATTTCTTCATCACACGGCTGACCAGATATCCCTCCTGCTCTTACCACCTGACATTTTACAAGTTGCCTGTCCCCACTATGAAGGCCATTCCTTGGGCACTATGTATTGGAGTGATACTTGAAGCTGAAGCTTCTGTCTCAGAGGTAGAGATGAGAATTTTCTCATGCAGGGAGCAACAATATTCAATATATTTGGGGTCATTACACCATTACTTCTGCAGATTATCATTGTGAAAGTTTTAAGCTAAATTATTCTATGCCATTAAGAAAGAAAAGGTACATAAAGTATATTCTAGGTCCCTCTGTGTTGATTTTTAAACAAGTTTTTCTTTGAAAATGAAAATAGAAATAACCTTTAAATAATTTCAGGAAATTCGTATAGTTTGTACTTTTGCATTGGTCAAAGCTACATTAAAAAATGACAAAGAGCTTCAGTGAAGTGACCAACCCAGTTTTACATTTTGCACAAAAAGTTTCTCAATCTTTTCAAAGGTAAAGTATCACTTCATCGTTCTGTAGAAGTTTACAGGAAATTCCAGGTCATGGTGTTCAGTTCAGATCACAAGAGAATATGCTTTGTTGCAGTTAGACCTTGGCACGACACTACATGTACAGCCACTCGGATGTGTGACCAGCTGTTTTTCTGTAAGAACATGTAAAGCAGAATCTTAACCATAACATCCCCTTTTCATTCAAATGAGCAGGATAAATGTGCAGCGACAATAAAATGCATTAAGATCTTCATGCTATAAATAGGTTGGAACTCAGAGACTAAAATAAAAGCAATTAAATCATCTTCAGAACATATTTTTTGTACAGTTAAATAACTAACATGGTGTTTGAAAAACCAGCATTTTACAGGCTACCCAGTCTGATGTAATGGGGTGTCTCCTGGCTAGCAGCTGTCATTTTAGGCCTTACAGCAGTGAGCAAAAAGTATTAAGGAAAGTCTGGTGTCATTATGGTCCAAAAGAAACTTTTCTGAACAAACTCACTTCTGAAATTCAAAGTACATCCTCTGCAGCCAGTGATTTGATGAGACACCTTTCACATTTTGCCTTTGTAAATGTGAGAAAGTTTCTACATTCCCTGACCAGTTTCCAAAGGCTGGAGTGTGGCACTGACTGAGGAGGTCTAACATTTACAAGAGTTAGCACAGAGACAGCCAGCTGAATGCCTTCCTTTGTGCTACAACCATTTTGTGATTCAAACCCCTGCACATTTGAAAAGCTAGGCCCTACCTCAGCTTCCACCTTAATTTCTTAAACAGACATAAACTTCTATTATCTTCCATAGTTCACCCATTCCATTGTAACTTATACCTCCTGGTGGTCCATCTTTTGTATCTATGTCCACCTCATTATGATGACCTTTTAACATGTAACCCTTTGGTCATTTCACTGCTCTTCTCCTGGAGCCTTCTCATTCTGACCATGTTCTGCTCCCCTTTCTCTAGGTCTGTCCTTAAAACCTGCTCAAGTGGAACATTTCCCAGCTCTGATGAGACATCACAGACTGGATGCTCTCCCCACAAATGCAACCAGGTATTTCCACCGTTTTTCCATTTCATTCTCCATTTACTGCATCCACAACATATTCTGTTAAGTTTTTGCAATTTTTTAAAAAATGTACTGAATCTGCAACCATAAAAATATCTTAGTCCCTCGAAAGATTATACCTCAGCTAAATTGATGGATTTCAGACTTTTTCTGTTTCTCTTCCAGAACTCTTTAAGAACAAAATAGTAGTAGATAGCATCCAGGACGCAGTTTATATTCGCGAGACACAGGCATATCTGGAGAAAGTTGCGCACAGGCAGCAGATAACTATCTGCTATCCGGCAATTCCGAGCTAAAAAGTATACGAGCATGCCCACATGATACGGCGTGAAGCAGACGAGAAATGTTAACAGATTGGAGAGGACGATTTTCACAGATTTGCTATTGGATTTGCCCTCTGGTTTCTGGCTCCCACTTTTCTGCAGAGTCCTGATGATCTGGACCGAGCAGAAGACCATGATGAAAGCGGAGACTAGGAATATAGATTGCAGGAGGGACACAACGGTCCCACTCCAAACAGAGTCAGAATGGTTGAAGAAGCAGTACTCGGAGTTCTTGGTAGAATTCATGCCACGTTTGAAATACATGCCGAGGCAGCAGGACCAGACAACAATCCAGACCAGGGAGCAGGCGAGCACGGTTTTCTTTGTGGATCTGAAGGTACGGGCGAGGAAGGGATGTTTGATGGTGAAGTAACGGTCCAGGCTGATCAGTGTGATAATCAGAATGCTGGCGTAGGTGTTCACATAGTACAGAGACTCCAGGAACTTGCAGAATCCTGCGCCGAGGGACCATGTTTCGTTCTGGTAGGCATAGATCTTGAACGGCAACGAGAACAGCAGCAATATGTCCGAGACGATCAGGTTTGTCATATAGATGGTGGACACTGTCCACTTTCTAACCTGGACGCGAAGTAGACACAAAGCGCCAAAGTTGAGAAACAAGCCGAAAACAAACGTCGGGGGATTAACCACGACTTGGAAACTTTTGACAGAATCTGCTAACGTTCGGTTTCCTACACAAGTCGCCACTGAAATAGAACAAAATGAAGGTGTGAATCCTCATTCCAAGCGAAGCTGCTTCTAACTAGTTACAACTCTTTTTCATTTCTACTTTGCAAACGGTGGGTATACTCCTTGACCCTCCTCAAAAGTTGACCCGGCTCCTCTTTTTTGTTTGAATATTCCTAATATTTTGCCATTATAAATGATAAGCAAGTTCCTTCCAAGTTAATTCAATAATACACCAATCAATTAAAACCTTGCAAACATCAAGGAAAAAAGACTTACCGCTAGTCACGGTCTGGTTCATTTTTTGTTGTGTCCAGTTTGGATGTTACACGCGGGCGTTCACGCTGCACTAAGATAGGATATGCATCAGCAGATCGAGATCTTAAACATGAAGTTCCTCCTTCGGGTTTTTTTTTATACCACATAGCGTGCATGATCAAATAAAAAGTCGTTTTTATCAGTTTACGTTTGTTCAAAGTTCAAGAACCCCTCTCGTTTTTCTGAATTAACAGACAATTCAGTCTCTGTTTTTGTTAGGAGCAAATTCCTACAGATGCTGGAATCTGTCCTAAAAACAACAAATGCTGGAGCTCACACCCGTCAGGCAGCATCGATGGAGAGAAAGCAAGCTAACGTTTCGAGTTTAGGTGACTCTTCATCAGAGATGATGTGAACTGTGGAGGGGGCAGCCTTTATGCTGTAGTGGTTCGTTTCATCCCTCGCCTCAACAAAAGACTTTTTCCTTCAGGCATCAAGGCATGCAAGCTCCAGCAACTTATGGACTCCCACACCTGTCCTGTGCCACACTCCATCACCTCCTGTCACTCAGAGCCATCCCTTACAGTCCTTTAGCACCTTCCCAGCCCTCAGATGCCACCCCTTTCTGTCCCCCTGAGGTCACACCCCGCCAGCCCCAGTCCTTGCCCTGTGTTCACCCCATACCTCCTGACCTTCCTCTCTCTGAGGCTGAACGTACTGTCCTTGGCAAAGGACTCAGCTTCACACCCTTATGCCCCCACCT